TTAATAGCTAGTTGTCCAGGTGGATCTAGAGAATTGGTTACGAATTTATGTAAATTTTAATTTTTGTTCGAACTCTACATATTGTATTATTAATTTGACATTATCGTAAAAATACATTAACTTTTAAATTTTAAATTCGCCCTAGTTTCGGATATGTTAGTTAGCTTGTTTTTTTCAGTTTGTTAGAATGCGGATGTTCAATTAGTAGAGTTTGTTACAATTATTTTCTCATTATTTAACTTTTTTTGTTCTTTGCAGTTTTATTAATAATTTTATTTCATTTTCAAGGGAGTTTTGTTTGTTGTGGACTAGGTTAAGGATAAGTGGCTGTTTCTGCAAATCAGAAAATATTGAAATAATGGTTACCTTTTAAAGATATGTAATCACATTTTTTTGGCAATGATAATTATTCGATATTTTATGACCAAAGACGAAGTAGTCTAGGACTCTAGGTAGATGTGCATAATAAGGTAGATAATGTGTTAATTCTGAGTTATTTTAATTTACGTGACACAGTTTGATTAAACATAATTTTAAAAAGAAAAAAGACTTTTAAAAATTATAATCTAAAGTAAAGTATAATATTTGTGTAACTATAAATATAAATTATCGAGCATATCCAAGAGACCAAGAATAATGACACAAATTGTCTTGTAAACGATTTTTCTCTTAACTGTGCAGAAATATGAGCAAAACACATGCATTCAAACACTCGCAAATGATTGTTATAGTAGTTGTCCAGTAAGAAATTTGTGAGGTTTTGCTAAGGTTAAAATAAAAAGTTTAAATTTAAGTTATTTTAAACATAGAAAGATATTTTTTTTTTGGGGTGAAAACTAAATCGCAATAAGTGAAGAATTTGTGTTATAGAATATAATTTTCCCATCGAACCAGCTCACTAAAAAAATACATGATAAAAAGTATATTTCACTGAAAAAGTGGAAATCTTCCTAATTTTTTCGTATTATTATTATTATTTTTCTTTTCTCACTGATTCAATTCATATATCTATGAGATTGTAAGAATAGTTGTTTAACATTTTCCAGTAAAAAATTAAATAGGAAAATAATGATTTTTTAGTAGTAGATATGACGTCACCACATGAATGATGAGCAAACTTGGTTAAAATGATTAATAATTCAAGTGTAATATGTTTCCTCACATGAACTCAATTATGGAATTTTTTCTACCTATAAATAACTCTCTCATTTTATGATAATTTCACAACATAGAATATTGAAATTTACAACTATGAATACCTTCAAGAGAGATAATGTTTTGTGTCACATTTTACTCTATTCTTGTTTCTTCCTTTGTGCAGGTTAATTAATTTAATTTGTCTAATCTTTAATTTAATTCCCTTCTATATCCATATTTATTATATATATAAAAAATATAAATTACCCTCTCCTTCTTATTTTTTCCATTAATTATATTTATGACAATATTATATCTTTGCAGGATTTCCAGTGTATGCCATAGACTATGACTACCATTTCACTACAAAGGTATGTTTTATATTTACATTTATAATTTCCCTATCGAAAAAATTTATATAAAACAACGCGAATTATTGATATTTATGAAAAATTTGTTTGAATTAATCGATTTTTTGTGTTATATATATTTTGTAGTGTTTGGAAGAGCCTTTAAATCCACAATATAGTGGAGGAATTGCTAAAAATCCAGAAATAAATGATGGATTAAATGGATGGACATCATTTGGAAGTTCAAAAATTGAGACAAGAACATCAAAACAAGGCAATACCTTTATTGTTGCTTCACATAGAACACAACCAAATCATAGTTTTTCTCAAACAATTCATGTTGAGAAGGATACAATGTATACTATTTCAGGTACATTATTTGTTTCCCTTGTTAAGAAAATCGGTCAATTGACGCCCCTTCGTTGGAAATTAGTTACAATGTAATTAACTTTGTATGTATACATACTACATGTTGAATTCACTAGATTTTTTTTTTTCTAATTTCATATTTTAACTCATGTTACTAAAAATTCTGATTCTGTCACTGTTATTTTTTGTAGCATGGTTACAAGTGAGCCGTGGAAAAGCTGATGTTGTAGCAATGATCAGAACACCAAATGGTGATATTCCCACAGGTTAGAGTTGTGACCCGTTATTTTACATATATTAGTCGATTTTTTATCGACCCAAGCAAAATTTGGACGAATTGAATTATGGTTCATTTTTTAATCCATTCAAATTTGACCCAATCTGCTCATTTGACGACTCTAGGTTGGGTTATTGCAAAATCTGGATGTTGGTCTATGTTGAAGGGTGGTTTTAATGGGAACTTTTCTGGCCCTGCTGAGTTATATTTTGAGGTTCAATTTATTACAATTTTATTATTATTCCATCTACTTTATATTAATGTTAAATGCTTTACATTTTTGTCTCTTTTTTTTTTTTTTGTTGATATTGACATTTATAGTTTTAATTTCAGAGCAAGGACATTAGTTCAGTTGAATTATGGGCAGATAGTATCTCTATTCAACCATTTACCTTGTTGGAATGGAAAGCTCATCAGGATCAAAGCACTGAGAAGGTCAATAAAATAACTTTCTTGGAATTTTATGTATATTGAAAAAAAAAATAAAAAAAAAATAATATATATATATATATATATATGGAGTGACAGGTATAAAAAGTTGATGCTTGATCTTTATAAGGTCACATGTTCAAATCGTAGAATCAACCACTATTATTATATCCCCTTGGGGGTTCACTATACAACTACTAGAAAATCGCTCTTTAGGTCACATGTTCAAATTGTTGAATCAACCACTAAGGGGTACAAGATACAACTATTAGAAAATCGCTAATTTCTGACATAATCCATTGGGAATCCCTTAAGAATTAATGAGAGTTTAGTGTATCTAACTGTCGTTTTTATTAGAATTTGAAATCTTGTTATAATAAAAGTTCTTTTTTTTTTAATTGGGATATTATAAAATGTAACATGCAGACTAGAAAGAGCAAGGTGAAGTTACAAGTTGTTGATCATCAAGGGCAACCAATATCCAATGCAACAATAATGATCAAACAAACAAGCTCTTCATTTCCAATTGGCAATGCTATGAGTTCTCACATATTAATCAATACAGGTTATCAAGATTGGTACAATCCAAGGTTCAAGTTAACAGTTTTCGAGAACGAAATGAAGTGGTGGGAAACTGAACCACTCCCTAACAAAGACGACTACCATTTAGCTGATGCCATGCTTCAATATGTCCAAAACCGGACCATATTACTCCGTGGACACAACATAGTTTGGGAAAATAGGGATATGTTACCTCAATGGGCAAAAGATCTACCACGTCCCTTGTTTGCAACCGCGATTGAAAGGAGATTTAACTCGTTGGTGCCAAGATATCGTGGCAAAGTTATACATTGGGATGTTGATAATGAAAACATGCATTTTTCGTATTTGGAGAGTCAAACAGGCGAAAATACGGTGTATTATTACAAGAAGGCTTATGATATGGATAAAGGTGCACTTTTGTTCTTGAATGAATGGGGTACAATTGAAAATCCTAATGATATTGTTGCAAGTCCAGCTAAATATTTAGCTAAAATTGAGGAATTTAGAACTTTGGGTTATAATGGAACTCTTGGAATTGGACTACAAGGACATTTTGATACTCCAACTATACCTTATATTAGAAGTGCACTTGATATACTTGCAACTGCAAATTTGCCTATTTGGATTACTGAGTTAGATGTTTCAAGCAGACCCCTTCAGGTAATAATCATTAAAATTTCATTTTTTGAAGCTATCAAATTAGATATACTATAGTCATGTATTTGATTGCACAAAAAAGAAAAAAACTGGATTAAACTGTTGTTGGGCCTGGGAATATGGGCCTAAGGTAAAGGAGTTTGATTGCAAGATCCACTTGTGTCAAACAGGTATGAAAGTCGACCTTAGTGATCCAATAGAAGACAAATATTGAATAAATGTTATCTCTAGGGATTATAACATGTGTTGATCATAGAATAAATATATACTGTCTGTGTACAGAAGTTAAACTCGTGGTGATTTTTGGAGTGCAGGCAGATTATTTGAGAGACATATTGGGGGAGCTTTATACACATCCAGGAGTACAAGGGATAATGTTTTGGTCACCATGGCAACCACAAGGATGTTTTAAAATGTGTTTAACTGATAATGATTTTAATAATTTGCCTACTGGGGATGTTGTAGATGATTTCATGAGGAGAATAAATCATCAAGGATTAATTAGCTCTACTAATCATGATGGTTATATTGAGACTTCATTATATCATGGAGATTATGAAGTCATAATTAAACATTCTGCAATTAAGCACCAGTCATTTGCTCATAAAATTAATGTAGCAAAAGGCAAGGATAGTAGTACCCTAATCATGAAATTATCTGCTTAAATTTTAAGTAATTGATGAATAAAATTGTCCCTTCATTTTCATCTTGACTTGTTTCATAATTTTGCTTATTTTATTTTTTAGCATGTGTTGTTTCTTTGAATTCGATAAATAGAACTTCAGTAATCATTAAAAAGAATCGTAAACTAAAGGTGAATATATAACCGATTCCGACCCTTTAAAGTTTTACAATTTTTTCTTTTGATATTATTAAGACTTGTACATATTAAACAATTCTACGTCAATAACATCATCTAAAATATGTCTATTAAACCCCTCATAACTATGATATGGCAGATATGACAAATTCAAACAAAAAAAAAACACTTTGGCTTTTGATTCCAGCTAATAAAAAAAGAAGAAGTTTTATATTTTTGCTATGAAAAGAAACTTTACTTGGTTAAGCAAAGTTACTCTCTTTTTACAAAATTTAAATAACATATGTAAAGGTTAAGAAAAAGTGAAAAAGCATAGAATAGGCTGGCCCCTTTAAACTTTTATAAACAAATCTTTTTGCATGGGATTTATTTATATAATATATATACAAAACTTAAGAAGCAAGAACACAACCTTTGTATTTGTACTTAAATACTCTCATTCTCCACACAAATACATCTCTCTCAATTTCAACATGGGCAAAAGACTCTATTTTCTTTTCACTCTCATAGCCATTATTTCCCTTTCTTTCTTCTCTCATTTTACCTTTTCGGATTCCTCGGTAGACGCTTTCGTCTACGGAGGATGTTCACAAATAAAATACACACCAAACTCACCATACGAATCGAATCTCAACTCCCTCCTAACATCCCTAGTAAACTCAGCAACATACTCATCGTACAACAAATTTAGTATCATGGGCTCAACGAAACAAGATATTTTATACGGGGTTTACCAATGTCGTGGCGATCTATCGATGCCCGATTGCGCCACTTGTGTAGCCAAAGCAGTGAGTTCAATTGGCAAACTTTGTTCACAAAATTGTGGTGGTGCATTGCAATTACAAGGATGTTTTGTTAAGTATGACAACACTTCATTTCTTGGTGTTGAGGACAAAACTTGTGTGTTGAATAAATGTGGGCCTTCTAATGGGCTTATTGATGGGAATTCTGTGGGCCGGGTTTTGACAAGTTTGAATGGGGCTGGTGGGCTTTTTAGAATTGGTGGGTCATTAGATGTACATGGTGTGGCCCAATGTGTTGGTGATTTGAGTATGGGCCAATGTCAAGATTGTTTATCGGAGGCGATCGGACGGTTGAAAAATGAGTGTGGCGGTGCGTCATATGGGAATATGTTTTTGGGAAAATGTTATGCTAGGTTTACTACGAGGGGAGATTTTGAATCCAAATCTAATCATGGTAAGAAAATAATTAGTGATTCAACTTATATATACTGACAGATTGATAGAGTAAAGATTTTTAATGTTATTCATATAATTTAGGAAAAAATAACTAAATATACAACTTATTTGATCATATTTTTAAAATTTCCTACCATTTGAAAAAAATTATAAAAATTTCCACTCTTTCCAATTCTCGGATACATCACTTTGTATCGATCGGATACATCACTTTACGCGATGTATCGGGACGTACACAATGTAACGAGATGTTGAGTAATGTATCCGAACTCGAGACGCGATGTATCGGAACATTGAAGGATGTATCCGAAATCAGGATGCAATGTATCGGAACGTTTTGGGATGTATCTAGATTCCACCAAATTTAAGGTTTTTTTTGTAATTTGGAAATGAATAGGAATATGATGTTTTTAGCTCTTAACACTATGCGATTTGTGTAAAAATTTTAATAATTTATCTATTAATTAATTGCAGGTTCTCATCATTTTGAGAATGAGAAGACATTTGCACTTATCATTGGATTATTAGCTGGTGTTGCTCTTCTCATCATTTTCTTAACATTTTTAAGAAGAATATTTGGACGAAATGGTAAGAACTCACATTTTTATCATACTTTAAAAAAAAAAAAAAAGATAATTATATATTTTTGAATATTATTCTCTTTTTCAATTTGTAAAGTGATGACAACAATTTATCAGTTTTCCCTTTTTACTTTTAGATTCTATTAAATTCATATACAATTGTTTGCTGAGTCATTCTACTAGAAAACAAGAAAATAATTAGCGAGACAAAATTTCATATACTAAACAAGCGAAAAGCCTATGCTAATTCCATTTAGCTATGAATTAGCGATAAATTATAAGAAAATTAAATAAGCTAAGAGTTATTTAGCGATTGACTAGCTGAAAATTATCGATAAATTTCATAGCTAATTCTATATTTTCTAATAGTAACTTTATGGTAATGACTTTAATTGATTCTCTTTTTTTGTTTTTAACTTTTTGCAGGTAAATAAAGAATATACATACACGATCAACGTCAACTTGCATTCTTTATTTGAAATGAGGACTTTATGAAAGAAAGATGAATTATAGAGATGTGGACCATAAAGAAAAAAAAGTTGAAAAGGGAGAAAGTCATGAACTTTAACAAAGTGACATTGTTTAGAAATTTAAAAGAAATTTCAATTGCATATGCTTTTGTGAAGTTTTATTTGGATATGTTTTCATGTGAGACATTTGATTATTATAAAGTATATTTTTTGTTTCATTATTTAAGCAATAACAAACGCAATTGAACTATTTATCTTTTTTATCGTTCATGAATAATTACCCTAATCGGTAGTAGAGACGTCATATTTGAAGCTTATAGATTTGAAATTTTAATCCTTTTAAATAACACACACATATATATATATATATATATATATATATAAATTTGAACTAAAATCATAGAATTCAACTGAATTTGTAATTGAGCTCTAGCTTCGACCCTACTAATTTGTCTAATTGGAAACATTTTAGTTGGGAGTCATGTGTTTTTGTTTTTTCTAAAAAAAATAAGAACAAGAAGAATTAGGCAAAGTTATATTCTCTTTGATGAGTTTATTCGATGTGAATTTAGATTAGCCTGGTCAAATAGTATTATTTTCTACTTCAACATTTGCTATACTTCATCTATTTTATTTTGTATGTCAATTTTTTCTTATTTTATTTGCTTAAAAGAGAATGATATTTTTAATATTTAATATCCTCTTGAATTATAATATTTACATGTTATATTTAATATCAAAATATGATATATGATACAAATATTTAATTTAAAATTATAAAATTATAAAATCTTTTTTATATTTTTAAATTTTGTGCCCAATTAAAAAACATAGTTAAAATAAGACAAAGAGGGTATTAAATATCTAATTTGAATTCGAACACCAAATGAATGAAAGAAAAGGTTTATTTTAGTCCACATGTCACACTTTGCTTCCCTTTGGTTTGACTATAAATCTATAATAGAAACATAATTAATAATATTGGAGTTAATATCTTAAGAGGTCACTCAACTTTGAGAATTTATCTAATAAAGTCATTAAACTTTATTTTGTATCAATAAAATCACTCAACTTTAACATTTGTATCAATAAAATCATTTAACTAAATTTAGCCTTAATTATTAATTTAATAGGATTAACACACTAAACCAACATTTTACCCGTGATATATCCCACCCAGGAGCCCTTATTTGTTGGTTATAATTTAAAATCTTAAACCTAACCTAGCAGTGAATAATGAGAAGTTTGATAAACAAATTAGTTAGCGCTTTACACAGGAATTTTTTTTCCTTTTCGTAGTTATTTTTTATGCTATGTATACATTTATTAATGGAGTTTTAATTACAAAACTTCCACTGCAAATGAGACGTGACAGCCATAATTATTAATGTATTCGCTTAATTTAATAGGATTACCACACTAAATCAACACTTTACCCGTGATATATATCCAACTCAAGAGACCTTTATTTGTTGCTTAATTAAATGCATGATAATTAAACTCCATTAATGTATACTTGGCATAAAAAAAATACTATTTTGTGATATCAAAAAGAAAATTCAATAATAAATTTAGTTAAGTGATTTTATTTATACAAAAGTTTAAGTTGAATGATTTTTTTGATACAAAACTGTAAGTTGAGTGATTTTATTGATACAAAACAAAGTTCAATGACTTTGCTAGATAAATTTTCAAAATTGAGTGACCTTTTGAGATATTAACTCATAATATTGCTATCCAAATTATAGTCTAAACTCCATAAAATTTGTCTCCAACGAATATTAGGACCACAATTATTAATTAACGATGTAGAACTACTCTTAAAGTCTGTTAAAGATGTGGAACTTTTTTTAAAAACCGTACAAGATTTGAATCAAAATAAAAGATATATATTATATTATGTTAAGAATATTATTTGGCAATACAATTTTTTTTTTTTAAATCTTTTGAAAGTTAAATCAAACATCATTAGAGAAAATCCTTTTAGATTTTGCTAGAAGTGAAAGTTCTCTCAAAACAGTGTTGCGTGAAAAAACAATTTAGAAATAGCTGTTTTTTTCTTCTTTTCAACTTAATTTTACTCTCACAACTTGTTCCAACCGTAGCTTTTGGCACAAGCATAGTTGCATATAAGTTGAAATCGAACGAATAATATAATTTTTGATTTACATATCATATCAAAATTGAAATAAAAGAAAAGACAATAATTCCTTTTATCCTTTAAAATTTATTTGAATAAAAATGTAAAATCAGACGAAGAGTCGAAATAATTACTATTGCCTTTCACCCATAATATCTAGGAAAAATTACAGAAATCCCACCTTTGAGTTTACTTATTACCATTATCCCCTATAAGTTTTACAAATTTCCAAAATCCCTCATTTTCGCGCATTAAATTAGTGTATCTCGCGCATCAGATTAATGTATCAGCGCTTATATTATTGTATCTCACATATCAGATTAGTGTATCATGTATAAAATGTACATCAGATCAGTGTATCATGTATAAAATGTAATGTATCTTACTTAACGATTAATGTATCTCGCGCATCAATTACTGTATCAACGCTTATATTATTGTATCCATTTGAGGGATTTCTGTAATTATAAACTTTTAAGGGATAGATTGTAATTTTACCTTAAAAGTATGTGATTTCTATAATTTGTCCTAATAAATATTATTCTTATCTTATTAATAAAAATAAATAAAGATAGATATTAAATTTATATACACTCTCCCAAAAGAAACTATCATTATTGGAGTAATTATATTATCCTACCTTTCTCTATGTATTAACCAATTACCAATAATACAACAAATCAAAAGAGTTATAAGTCGGTGGCTTTAACACAATGGTATGGACAAATAAAATGGAGTACATGTTAGCTTTTTATGGACTAAATTAAAGTGATATTTTTTCAATTACTTACTACCATAAAATTTAAGAATCATTATGTATATTCTCTTTTCTATTGCATATATCCATGCATGAGCTTTAATGCATATATATACTTATAGACAAAGAAATATTTCAAAGTAGTGGAGTCAGAATTTAAAGTTTATAAATTTTTAATTTGAACTTTTTAAAGTTATTGAGATTAATAATCTATATATATATTCAATATTTTTCAAGAGAATACACAATTTGAATCGAATTTACGAAATTTAACTGAATATATATCTGACACTCTAGCTTCGCGCTTTCTCAATACATGAGTACTGAATCAGATGTCTAGTTGTAATTTCAATCATGGTTATAAAGCCATGTCTTTATGCTATTGTATGCTGACTAATTATTTTTATCAAAATATAAGTCACTCTTCAAAGTTGTAAAGTTTAATGGAGAGTGTCTAAGGTCCACTCATTTATGGCTTGTTTGGAAAGACACCCTGGTAATTAAATTTGATGTAATTACACTGTCTTGTCCTGTTTGGAAGGACAGGTAATTACTTGGTCAGCAGGTAATTGGTGTAATTGGCAGGGGATAATTACACTCTACAATTCACAGGCAGAGGTTGTGAATTGCTGGTAATTACATGGTGTAATTACCACCTGATTACTTTTTAATTTTTTTTTCTATTTTTATTTTTTTGTTTTAATTCTTTTTACTTCTATTATTTTAAGTTTTTATTTTTATTTTTATTATTCTAAAAATTTGTAAAAGTTTATTATATATTTTATATTATTATATTTCATTTTCTTCTTGTTCTCAACCTTACTTTACGTGATTCTATGTAATTTTCTCGTATTATCTATTTCTTTATGCCATGCTTATTTTCTCATTAGCATAATTTTATTAGTATTATAATTTTTAAATTAAAATAGAATTTATTGTTAAGTAAGGTTATAGACTTACGTTTTCTTTATTAAGAAAAAATAAAAATAAATCATATTTATTGCTATGTTGAAATTTGTTATAAGAGTATTATGTTACATTTTTTGTGTTGAATTTATAACTTATGTTATATTTTCAGTTTCATTTGTTTTAGTAATATTGAATTTACACTGCACGTCATTTTTTAATTAGACTTGATAGATTATATTTTTGTCAAACATTTAATAATTTATGACATTTTATTTATATATTATTCTTTTTATCAAACATGCATTTCACAATGTTCGTAGAAACTTCATACTTTTAGTTGTTACGATCAATTCAATTGAAATATATTAATTTGAAAAAATATAAATCAATTATTTTTTCATAATATTAGTTACAGAAAATATGTTTATTAATTAATATATTTTCAAAAAAGAATATATATCTTAAATATTTAATTTAATGTCATTTATAAAGTTTCTTATTTGTCTAGTATAAATTTTAAATAACTAATTTTTATTTTTAAAATTTATTATAATTTTATAATTGCAATTGTGCATCCAAACAGAACATGTGTAATTACACTGTGGCATCCAAACAGGACATGTGTAATTACAGTGTAATTACACTGTGGCAACCAAACAGGTCAGTGTAATTACTAGACAGTGTAATTGCTAGGCTGGTAATTACTACCCTAGTAATTACACCAATTCCAATTACTAAGTGGCTTTCCAAACAAACCCTTAGTCAAATATTAAAGGAGAGTGACTCATTCAATTTTTGAGGAAAATATTTCCATAAAATTTTGTGGGATCCTATGGCATGCATAATCAATCGTGAAGGAGTGGAAAAGGATGTATAAGAAATATTTTAGATTGAACTTAATTTTTTTAAGGATAGATTCGAGTTATCTGAATAATAATTTTTAATACTCTTTCCGTCAATTTATGTGACATTTTTCGAATTTCGAGATTCAAACAAGTTTATCTTTGACCGAATTTTTTTCATATATTTTTAAATATTTTGAATTGTCAATTATTGTGAATTATAGCACTTTTTACGTAGTTTATAAATATATAAATTTCATTTCAAAAAAATTGAAGATTCCATGTGCAAATTTCCGGTCAAACTTAAACTGTTTGACTCTCGAAAAATAAAAAAGTACCACATAAATTGAGACAAAGAAAATAATAATTTAGAGGTGAAGATCCTTACTATAATTTTTGTACTATGATATTCACTATAGTTAGAATAATTATAATTATATTAATAGTTATATTGATAATAGTAATGATATTGATAATTTCAATACTATAGTGATGATTTCCATCGCGTCTTTGATATGGGGCTGGAACTACTAACTGAGATGAATGAGCTAATTATGAATATTATATTATTATGAAAATAGATTGATTTTGTGTCATCCTTCAATTGAAATTAGTAAAAACAATATTTCCTTGCATAATATAAATCTCAAGACATTTATGAATCGTGATGTGAATAAGTCGAATCATGATTTTGGTAGTAATTGTTGTGTTTTTCGTAGACGCTAACCTTAAATCAAAAGTATTTTTAGCGGCAATTAAGTAGCAATAATAGTTTAACTATCACTAAATATGTATTTTAGAGGTAATAACTTAATTGGGCTGCTAAATGTGTATTTTTAGAAGCCATCACTAGTGACAATTATATTATAGTAGTATTTGTAAATGCTACTAAAGCCTATAGTAACATCGTATCTAATGACAATAAAGAAGAATATAATTTTCCAGATCTCACTAGGACTATACTAGGTATGTTATTATTGAAATTGAGGGAATCATGAGCTACAATAGTACTATTTTCTTCTTTTTTGATGCTAAGAACTTGTAGAAGTACAATGGATTAAATAACACAACTTAAAGTTCCCTAATCAATTTAGTGCAAAAATTTACCCATTAATAGAGCTCATTAAAGAATTCTAACATAAACAAAAACGCACTAGGTGATTTCTTTCTATCTATCTAGCCTTGGTGGATAGAGTTGTCTGGTACTAGGGGTGTACAAAATCGAACCGAAAATCGAACCAAACCGCAAACTGAGTCAACCTGGAAAAAAAACCTGACTAGTGGTTTGGTTTTGAAAAAAAAAACCCGACTATATTTGGGTTGGTTTGGTTTTAACTAAAAAAAACCAACCCGAATTTATATATATAATTTTAAAATTTTATTTTATACATAAAAATATTTACTTTGATATAATTTTTAAATATTTCTTATACTTTTCCATAGTTTTTATCTTTTAATATATTATTTCAAGTTTGAAACTTAGAATTATGAATGAGTCAATAAAGATTATAGTCCACTGGTAATTATAATAAAGCTTAAATCAAAATCAAATTAATACTAATGCAAAAAGGAAATCAATTCAACACTAAAAATAACAATAATATTGAATATTTGTTTTTTAGTTTTACATTGGTTTAGACAATTAAAATACATAATCTAATTTTAATTTCCTTTAATATTTAGTCATGTAACTTTAAGAAACACCTTAGATAGTTGTATTTTGGTAGGACTAAAGAAATATTTGAAGTACAAGTAAATAATATGTTTGTATGAATACTTTACCGGAAAAATCCGAAAAACCGAAAAACCCGAGTTTTATTGGTTTGGTTTGGTTTATAAATTAATTAAAAATTTGACACGAATGGTTTGGTTTGATATTTGAAAAACCCGAACCAACCCAGCCATGTACACCCCTACCTGGTACATGTTACTGGTGGAAGATGATATATAGATATCCCGTGGAATAGTCGAAGTGGTCGAAAGCTGGCCTAGAAACCACGGTTATCTAAAAAGGAAAAAACTCACAAAGAAGAGCTTGTTTGGTACAAGGGTAGACTAGGTCTTAATTAGTACACAAGTTCCAGGGAAACCCATATTAGTTGAGAATTAAACATTGTAGTAAATGTGACAATGACATCACTATCAAGCATTATGATGAGATGAAACATCACAATTTGAAAACAGCAACCGCTACTGGTAGTTCTAAGAGCAAATAAAGAATTCAAGCAGACACAAAAACACGGTGATTTCTTTCCATCTGTCCCAGTCTTGGTGGATAGTTAATTGATACTTAATGTTGGTGGGACGTAGTAGATATTCTGTGAAATTAGTTGCGTGGCAGAAAGTTGGCCGAAAAACCACGGAGAAAGAACTCACAAAAAAGAGCTTGCCTCTCCCTCTAAATGCACAAAGCTTTACACTACATAAAAAATGATCTTTAGCGGTAATAGTTTAATTGCTACTAATTATATTATTATAGAGGCAATTAACACTTTTTGTAAATGTCCTTAGCATATAGCAACATTGGGTCTAATGACAATTAACTAATATCGATAAAGGTTTTAGCACTCTTTGTTAATATACATATTTATTGCTGCTAAAAGTTATTTTTGTTATACTAGTCATAGCGTGTATGCAAGACTTTACCCCTACCTTGTCACGTAGAAAGGCTATTTCCTATACTTTTAAATACCTCTATTTAAATTTATATCTTATTCTACCAAAGTTGACTTCGGTAATCAAACTGGTAAGTCTTCAACATGGAAATTAAGCTGCAGTCATAATCAGTTGATATATGTCATTGTCTCATCTTACTTACCACACTTGAATTATTAGAATTTTCCACGAACTTGTGTACCAAGACCAAGTCTAACTTTTTCTTAGAGACCAAGGTCTATATATATATTGATTATTTTCGAGTAAACGTTTTAAGTCAATCTTAATCACTATAGTATATTGCTTTTTTTCCTATATATCTTCTAAAACTTGGTTGATCACTTTGCAGAAGAAAATGAAAATCAATAGGTTTCTACAATTCATTATTGCATTTTCAATGTTCATAGGACTTGAAACAAGTTGGGGTAAAACATTATGCATTGAGAAGGAAAGACAAGCTCTTGTCCAGTTTAAGCAAGGTGTTATAGATGAGTACGATATCCTCTCATCGTGGGGGAGAGAAGAAGAGAAACAAGAATGTTGTCGTTGGAACGGTGTAAAGTGTAGCAACAAAACAGGTCATGTCGTGATGGTTGATATTCACTATACACCACAACCTTTTCTAGATGTGGATCAACACTTGAAAGGTAATATTACTCCTTCATTGCTTGAATTGCAGCATTTGAACTACTTGGACCTTAGTAACAATGATTTTGGTACAAGTCGAATACCGGATTTCATTGGTTCATTTCCAAGACTAGAATACCTTAAACTTCAAGGTGCTAACTTATCTGGTGAAATTCCTTACTCATTTAGTAACCTTACACATTTGAAGATTCTCGATTTATCTTCGAATCAAATTACAGGATTGTTTCCAAACTTAACAATGTTTTCAGCTTTAAGAGAGTTGTATTTGAGCAATAACAAATTCAAAGGGAGGTTACCTCAAAGTATTGAACAGCTTTCAAAACTCGAGATATTGAGAATCAATTCAAATTCTTTCGAAGGTCCAATCACAGAATCACATCTTTCAAATCTTTCCAACTTAAAAGAGTTGGACTTGTCGTATAACTCATTCTCTCTTCAGTTGAGGCCTGATTGGATTCCTCCTTTCGAGTTACAAGTTATAGGACTCTCGCATTGTGAAATGGGGCATCGTTTCCCTCAATGGCTACGAACTCAGAAGACGTATTCATATCTTGATATCTCTTTTGTTGGTATATCAGATATAGCTCCTAACTGGTTTTGGGATCTTTCTCCTGAAATGATTGATGTACTTCAACATTTCTAATAACAAAATAAGCGGAGAAGTTCCTGATTTGTCTTCCAAGTTTCTAGAAACTAAGTATCAAATAATGGATTTTAGTTCGAATAACTTATCAGGTTTAGTCCCATCATTCTCATCAGACTTGGAAACATTGAACCTTTCGAAAAACAAGTTTGTTGGATCAATATCTTTCTTGTGCAAAATAGCCAATCCATTGTTCCGTACCATTGACCTCTCGCATAACATGCTTTCAGGAGAACTTCCCACTGATTGTTTCATGAATTTCGAAGAACTAGCCGTTCTTAATTTAGCTAACAACAAGCTATACGGTAAAATTCCTAGCTCTATTGGATATTTGATGGATATTCAATCTCTACAGTTGCGTAACAACAACTTTACTGGTCATCTTCCAACCTCTTTGAACAACTGTGCTCTATTGGAAATCCTGGATGTTGGTGGAAATAATTTAATTGGAGAAATTCCGTCATGGATTGGCTCAGATTTAACATTTTTGATCGTCTTGAGTTTGAGAGCCAATAAATTCGATGGAAATATACCTTCGAATTTGTGTCATCTGAATAAAATCCGTATTTTGGATCTTTCTCATAACATCTTATCAGGAGAAATCCCGCATTGTCTCAAAAAAATCACATCATTGCTTCAGAGTAATAGTTCAACCTCAAGCATTCTTTTTGATTTGGGTGAACAAAACGGAAATGGTTTTTATTCTTTCGTTGAAGAATGCATTAGTTCAATGGAAAAATAGTGAATTTGTGTACAATAAAACACTCGGATTGTTGAAGATCATCGATTTTTCAAGTAACAAATTAGTCGGAAGAGTTCCTGATGAAATCACTCAATTAGATGGACTACTTTCACTAAATCTTTCAAGAAACAACTTAACAGGACACATCGTACAAGGAATTGGGACGATGGAAATGTTAGAGTCTCTTGATCTGTCTCGAAATCAGTTAACAGGACGAATTCCGACAAGTCTTGCTCGATTAAATTTCCTAAGTGTTTTAGACTTATCGAGTAACAATTTGTCAGGGGAAATTCCTTCGAGCACTCAATTGCAAAGTTTTAATCCTTCGTCATATGCAGGAAACAATGAACTTTGTGGTCCACCACTCGAAAAATGCACTGTTCATGATGATCATACAAGCAGAACCAACAATGTTGATGAAGACGATGATATGTTATTGTCGTTTGGGTTTTATGCATCTGTATGTAGTGGATTCATTGTTGGATTTTGGGGAGTGATATTTACTTTAGTCTTCAATAAATCATGTAGAGATGCTTACTTTCATCTGTTCATCAACGTCGCGAATTGGATCTTTGTCACAACAATTATGTGTCTACGCAGATTGAAGATGCTCTGGAGCTAGTTAGCAAACAACAAGCTGCATAATGTCATAAGTAAGTTTTACAAGTCTAGCTTCTTTCATAAAAAGAATTACATGTTTGTAGTCACCAATGGTGGTATATAGTATGTGATGTTTCTCATGTATAATAATAAAATGTTACTATTAATGAAAATGTTTTGGGAGCAAATACATCTTAAGGTCCTAGACACTGCAACAAATAATGGGATTTCGTGGCAATAATGAATATCGATGTTTATAACCAACACTCTATATAAATGTCACTAAGTTTTAAATGATTCTGAATACAATGACATTAACTCAATTGTTGCTAAATGTTTTTATAGCAATAAATATTGTCTTTGAAAGGAAAATATATTGTAGCAGATCTGATCCGTTCAGACATTTTCAGGTCCATTAAGAGGTTTTTTGAGAAAAGAAACAAATGGACTTAATGGGCTGAATCTGAATTAGATTCAGACCTAAAAACCAAACGTACTTAATGGACGGAATCTGAATGATTAAGGTTCAGACCTCCATTAAGTGCAAACAAATGAGGGTCTCATTTGTTTTCATTAAAATTAAGACCTCTGAATTTGAATACACGTCTGAGCATTAAGATTTGCATTAAGAGCTAGGTGTCTAGATCTAAATACACATATGAATATTAAGATGTTGTCTCCAAATCTGAACACTGAATCAAACTATTTGTTTTCAATATCTGAATGTGCATATGAAATCAAACATTATATTAATAAAATATTATAAAAAATTCATTTCAACAAAACATATTGCTTTTTGATTAAAAAAATATCATAATCATCAAGCATAACATTAAAAAATCACGAATAAAAAGTATTTTATAGGCACAATATAATATCAAAAAGTTTAATAAGTATGATAAATACTAGTTGAAAAATAATAAATAAGGTATCACATTATCAGCGTCTAACATATATTTTGGCTAATTAGAAAAACTAAAGAATTCTTATCTTTTTTCCGATAACCTTAATCCAATTTTCTAACTTGTGAACCTCTAACGTCATTTATGCTTTTTTGTAGTGGACCCTTTCACAAAATATACTAACACATGTATTGTATAATGACTCTTCCCATCCAAGTCCATCTAATTTTTCCATATATTCTTCAAATGTAGGTGCACTATTTTTTTAATCAATAACTCCAGAGTAGTAATCATCTTCTCATCAATTTCCAATTCAGACGAATACGTTTTTTTTCTAGCTGAAACTGAAGATTGGGATGGAGAATTATTAAGAGTTCCATTATTTTTGTCACCAACTAGTTCAACAACAACAATTTATTAGTGTTATCTCACAAAGGGATTTGAGTCTCAATAAAATTATTGGCCTAAGACAAAATTCTAATAAGAGACCTCAAATATGTATACATAGTTATTATTTTTAATATGAATAGTATTTTTTTTCACTCAAAAACCTTGATGAACATCAATACACTAAAAATATTATTGCAACAAGTGTTCTTGACAAACATCAATACACCCTAAGAAAATTATTAATATAAAAAAATACTTGTAAAGATTATGAAAACTTACCAGTTCAAGAGGAAAAAATTGGTGTTTGATTGAGAAAAGAGAGGAAGAAAGTTTGTAGTTGTGAGAGCAAAAGTCACGCAAAGACCGAGAGAGGCGATACAATATAATTGTATAACTTATTAAATAAGTTTGAATGGTATTAAGACTCTCCTGCATATCTGATCCGTTCAGACCTTTTCAGGTCCATTAAGAGGCTTTTTGAGAAAAGAAACAAATGGACTTAATGGGCTGAATCTGAATCATTCAGATTCAGACCTAAAAACCAAACACACTTAATGGACTTAATCTGAATGATTAAGATTCATTATTTGCTTCACATATTTTGACGATGTTTGGCCATTGATTTGATATTTGAAAAATCTAAACCAACCTCTAGCTGTTATTTTTTTTCATATTTGTTAATTAGTAGAATTTTGTTACCTCATTAGGATTTGTTAGTTAAGACCTAAACCCCTTTATATAATTTATACTTATTTCTATTAAGATTTTATTTTTTTAAAATTAAAAATTAATAAGTAGCCGTTGACACAAATCACAATGTTATTCACGGGACCACCAGTCAATTTGTCGAAAAAGACAGCCATCTGCATGTGTTCTTATCCTGCTGGTTAGCCCTTTCTGGTAATGGGGGTGGGCGAATGTGGGACAGATTCTAAAAATTAATGTATAGTGGATGGCGTTTTAAACGGATTTAAATAAAAAGACATTAAAAAAGATAAATTCTTAAATTAATACTCACTTAAGCGTAAGAAGACATTAAAATTAGATTAAAATTATTTTTATGTATAGTTGAATTAGTTTGATTGAAAACCTAAATGCTTGTAATATTATATAGCTAAAATAAAGAATTCACAATCTAAGAGACTGTTTGAATTGGCTTAAAAAAGTACTAATTTTTAAGTAAAAAAATAAAAAAAAATCAAACTTAAATTACTTTTAAATCAAAAAATAAAATGCAGGGAGAGTCCTACTTTTAATTTTTAACTCTTTTCAAGTCATTTAAAACTTATCTAAAAAGTAACGGCTGCGTCAAACGGCAATATGACCATATTTTTATTTTATTTGTAAGTCGTAAAGTCAGGGACGATGACTTACCCAAAAAAATATATTAATTCTCAAGGTATGTCGTTATGAGTGTAGCAAAAATTTTCATACCCAATATAAGTTAAACTACTTAAATAAACATACATTCGCACCATATTACTAATATTACCTACACTTTCAAATAATTACCTAACATCCCACATTTTCACTATTTAAGAATTTTCAATTTTCTACAATTAAATTGAGATGTGTGTCCTTCGGGATGACTCAATTGGTTTGGAGGGTGGTCATCCATTGGATCGATCCCCCCTCAAAACCTTCTGAGTCGAGCTTGTCTCTAAGATAACAATATTTTGTTAACAGAAAAAACTTACTTTCATTTATAATATATGAATGGGACTCCGGAGGAAGAGTAACCACTTCTCTATACCAATAGAATTTAGAAGCAAATGGACACAAAATAATAGAATTCATTAAGATGTTTTCTTCCTTCCCCTCTCATTTGAAAATTTTGAATCTTTATCACTATTTTAGAGTAAATTTTCATGTATTTGTCAATTATATATACACATGTATTTAAGTGTAAAATTTTGAATAGGCTTCAATTATGTATCTAAGTTATATCCCCCAAGGTTTGAGGTATTTGAATATTTTATGTATCTTCTTAATGAAATAATGATATTGGTCATTGCTGAAAAAGAAACTCGAAGTTTTTAGAAAATAATTAAAAAGAAGAAGAAAGGTACAACTGGGTGAATTTTCTAAAAAAAATGAAAGGATTTTAATTTTTTTTTTTACATATTATAATGCACCAGAATATTGCAAATTAAAGTTATTGCAAGCATGATTTTTTCCTTAATTTATGACTTTCAATTATATCCCTTAATTAGTTAGACTTAGTGAGTATGTATCTGACTACTATGTTTCTCAGTTACATGTATCTAGAAGCGACAAATATATGTATCAAAAGTAAAAAATATGGTATGATGTGTAATTATACAAACTAGATAGAAGGGGGATAATTATTAGGTACTAAGCTAGTG